CAAACCAAGATCATTATCACAAAGTGGACAATCTCAACCATTGTCAACAGCAAAAAAACAGCGACCACTTTCACAAACTGCCCAACCTCCACCAACAGCACCTAAGCCACGTCAACCATCACTAACTACACAACCTCCTCCAAAAGCACCTAAACCACACCGACCATCAATAACTAAAAAATTTCCACCACCAACACCTAAGCCAAGTCGATGTCAAGATTCATCATCAGCTTTAGATGATCCAACAGCAACAGTAATGCAAGATAAGGAGGGGAAGAAAGATCCATCATTATTCAAACCAATGGAAGGATCAATGTCACCAGAATACATTACAATGAAAGAGATGTTAGCTGATCTTGTTGATCTGTTGGCAGGAAATGCTCCAGTTATTTCACGATTAAATAATCATCTCTTTTCTCTTGCTGTCATACCTCAAGATGTACACAATGCTGTTACTAATCCTTATCCTACTCCAAATGAAAGAGCTACTCGACTCATCAATTCATTATTAACTAACATACAAACTCATTCTAATCCTAACAGTGTGTTCTCTTCTCTCATTACTTCACTACAGAAAGTAGGGCTAAAGAACATGGCATCTAAACTAATAGAAAATTTAAGTAAGATACAGTATCTTATACCCCGTCAATTAATTAATTAATTTTTTAATAATTAATTTATAATAGAAATGAAAGGTGGTCATGTTGATCCTAATCTAGAGCAGCAACCATCAGTCAGTAAGGGACCACTTCAACCAGTGGATGTCACTGCACAATCTCACACACCACAACCAACAATCACTCAATCACAATCATCTACTCCTACTACTGTCATTGAGCTCAGTTCGAAGAGTGAAGTTGCCGCCAATATTGAAAGTCTTCATTCTCGTTTTGCATCTCTTGATTCTGATATAAGAGATGAGTTTGAGGAGCTGGTGAACAAGGGTAAAGCAAATCTTAAAGCTGTAGCTAGGAGTGCAGCAGCTTATTTAAGCATTAAACTATCCAGTTTAAAATATGGCGACGTTGATGAATTATTTGATTCTCTTCAGCCTCATTATGATTTCTTCAGTTGTGGTGGTGTTCTTAAACACTTAGCAAACAAATATCTTTTAAATGCACAAACTGAGCTAACTCAATACATTGATAGTGTTGATAAATTCTCAGAATCATCACAATTGAAGCACATACGATCAACAATCAAAGAAAAATTGACATCAATACCAGCAGCAGCTTCACCAACCACTAGCGATCAAACAAAACCAGTCGTTTTTAAACTGAATGACAGATGGGAAGAAATGACAATAAGTAAACTCAAGACAGTCCTCAAGCATTACTTTGGAGTAACATCAGATCTCTTCAATCACATTAACTTCGATTATGGTTCAGTTGTTATTACACTGTTAATACCAACTTCACTATCACAGTCTCTCATTGATACAATTAATAAAAAAACAAACTCAATGAGTAGATTAGGAATATTGGAAGTTGCTGTTGACAATAAAGCAATTCCTATCAGAAGAGAAGATGATAACAATTTTGATGTTTCGCTCCATGATTCAGTTAAAGCTGGTGATAGTTTTGAAGTATCAATGCTACTGCAGTTAGGAGCTGATCCTAACAGTAAAGATGAGAGAGGAAAGAGTGCAGTAGAGATAGCTAATGAAGGAGGACACACTCAAATAAAAGAAATACTATTAACTGGTGGAGGTGAGTTATTTGATACTAATATTAATACACATCACACATAATGTTTTGTACCATAATACAGTAAACCCATACTAACAAACACTATCTATAGTGCACACCTCCTAATGGATAGCACCTAGTGTACCAATTGCATTCCTTACTGTATGAAATAACCTCCACATAAGGACACCTCTGTATAGCAGAAAAACTTTCACGTCCCAAAGTAACAGTGAATGAGTTTGACAATAAAACTTTATAAAAAAGAGTCACAAAACACAATAAAAATTATCAAAAATCATAGTCAATATGATTGTAAGTTATCATAAAGAATCTTCTACACTAAAAAGGGAAAAAATGAAAAGAAATAACATTTACAAGTACACTGTAAATGCAAAAATTCAAAACAGATAACTACCAGATACATGTATATATAATTAAATTAGCTTGTGCTTTGAAGTTGACTAGCTGGCATAATGGACTAAGGACTATAGAGAGAGAGAGTGAGAGAGAAAGAGAGAGACAATAATTATTGATTCGAATGCATTAATAAAACGTACAATTGATTTTGTTTACTGTCACATGATAAAAGATAGACCACACTTATTCCATCCTAGCAGCTGTAATGACTTACTGGTACAAAAACCAGCATCACCTGGAACAACACAGAAACGAACATCATTAATAAAATAATATAATACTGTATAGACCACCCACGCATTAGGTAACACTTCTTTGAAGTCAGCAAAACAGTGGGGATACAACGTGGCCAGCCACACCCACTGGTTGGCAAAAAGCAAATGGTATAGTGAGCTGTGGTGCTGTTGGGTGCCAAAACAGGCATGGAGAAAACAAGGAACTTGGCTTCTATAGAATCCCAGTTTTTCCAAAAAGAAGGAAAAAGTTGTGAATAAACACTATGAAGAGAAAAAACTGGAAACCAATCATTATACACAACTATGTGGAGATCATTTTGTCCTATGTAATTTTCTAGGAAGGCAGGTTGTTAACTCTGCTAATATAGACAGTCCCTACTGTTTTTGCCTATATAGAGCAAAGAATAATAAGATACGAGCAGTGTCGGGCAAAAAAAATAAACTCCCTATAAGAATAGCTTGGTGTAAGCTTCTTCAGCTAAGGGCCTTATAGCTGCATGAAGAAGCTTACACCAAGCTTTCTTTCTCCTCTTCCAAAAAAGACAAAAATTGTCCTAACATGTCAAATTTTGTAGTACAGTAGTAGGCCTCTAGTTGTTTCCAGGACATAAGCTGCTCTTGTGTGAATAGCCCAGGCCTGCTAACAAAGTAAGGCCAAACTCGAGATTTGGCCAGTTCCTCATCCCTGATGTAAATTGGACATTGTTTTTTCAGCAAATAAGGGCCATCATTGATCATCTGACCAACAGATTCCAGCTTTGCAACGTAGCCACTTTCTGGTATCTTCAAACAAAGACATAAAATGCTTACATCTGATGCAGTCATCATTGATGTAACAGTCATCATTGATGTTTTGCCGACTTCAAAGAAGTGTTACCTAATGTGCGGGTGGTCTATAGTGAGAAATTTTGGAGGTACTAAAATTTGGCAAATTGCTAAATTTTGGGATTGGCAAATTTTAGTTTGGCAAATTTGTGGCCAGGTGCCATTGACCATACATATAATGGCTCAAAATGGCAGATTTACTTTGGCAAATGGCTATCAAAACACCACAATCACCAATTTTAATTCCCTCCAAAATTTCCCACTATATGGTATATCATTTACACAATTTACCTACATGTACATGTATATA